TTTAAGAATTGAAATGATGATATATTAATAGAAGGTTTTATAATGAGCTATCAAAATATAGAAGGCAAAACATACAAGAATTGTGTGTAAATGTTCAGAGTGCAAAAACTAAAACCAAAAATTAGATAAGACTGGTTGGTTGATTTGTTAATTGATTGGTTTATTGGATGAATGAACAAATAAATGGGTGGGGAAAGGTAGAAGGAAGCAAAGAAGGAAGTGAGAGGGAGGGAGAGAGGGAAGTAGAGACAGAGGGAGAAGGGAAGAAAGAGAATCTTTTTAGAAAGGGCCAAAGAAAGGATAAACTGCTGCTGATAACAGTGTAAACCATCAGAATTTAGCTGTGTCTTTGATGTCATGTTTATTGCTTCCTTCCAACTATGACTTGGGTACATGAGGTCTGAGGAGATGGTGCAAGAGCACTAAGTTGCCTTAAATAAATTTGTTTTAATTTTTTTATTATGAAAACTTTCAAATACATACAGAAGTAGAGAAAATAGTATTTATCTCAACCTTTAATTATGTATGCCATTCCCCACTGTATTAGTATGAAGCAAAACTAACAAATCATTTAAATGAGTGGAATCTCCAGACTTTAAAGAAGTATATCCCAGTGATATAATTTTAAAAAAAAAACTATCCATTATTTTAAAAAACAATGAAGAGCACATTGAAAAAAAGTGATGAAAAAATTCTGTACTTTTTTATTATAAAGAAAAAATATGTATTCCTTAGAGTTCAGAGTATGAACTTGTTATGAGTTTCATGTTATGAGTTTCATCCAGTTCATGATGAACTGGATGTTTTTCTAGATCTTGGCCAAAATATAGTGGTAATTCTAGACATGTCAACATACTAAGAGCAAAGATTGCTCTGCTAATTTTATTTCTTTACTCATTTATTTAAATTTTATCCTTTTAACTAATAAATTAAGTCAGCTAATATGCTTTTTAATAAGATTACCAGACTGCTGGATCAGGAAAATACCATCTGATAAAAATTAACCTTAATTTCCACAAGGTATTGACAAAAGCTCTTAGACTGTGCATGTGTTGGGGAATTGTGGATTGCGTCACAATACAGTTAGGGAGATTTGTAGGGAGTGTCATGACCATGTCTAAAGGCACAACTAATGGGTCAGTCAACTTGGAGGAAGGCTTCCAGTAGTATCCTGGAAAGCTGTTTGTAGCCTCGTTTTGGTCCATTGTTTTAATCAGAAGTCACACAACTAATTTCAAAGTAGGTTTTTGGCTTTATAAACTTTCAAGAAAAGACCACACATGTACAACTGGGTTAAGTTCATGGTTTGTTAGGGCAGAGAAAAAAAAATTGATTGATTGATTGATTGATTGATTGGAGATGGAGTCTCACTCTGTTACCCAGGTTGGACTGCAGCAGCATGATCTTGGCTCACTGCAACCTCCACCTCCTGGGTTTAAGGAATTTTCCTGCCTCAGCCTCCAAGTAGCTGGCACTACAGGCACACGCTGCCATGCCTAGCTAATTTTTTTTTTTTTAGTAGAGACAGGGTTTCACCGTGTTGCCCAGGCTGGTCTCGAACTTCTGAGCTCAGGCAATCTGCCCACCTCGGTCTCCCAAAGTGCTGAGATTACTGGTGTAAGCCACCACGCCTGGCCAAGAAATTTATTTTGGCAAGGCAGATAAACAGAGTAGGAGGCTATGTATCATATCTCAGCCCAGCTTCTTCTGGTTCCTTTCTGGATGAATCCTCCAGTTAACACATACATTGACTGTGCACAGTAGTGTGCTGCTATATCTGTCACACTAAATTTTATTGTTCACCACATCCCTTTTAATATTCAGGGTTTACATCATCAGCCAGGAAGAATTTATACAATATTTATGTATCGACAGGCCTCTTCCTGGTTCTTGAACAAAGCACAGGGTCAGTTAAGTCCACACAGTAATAGCACAGGAAAGCGCTTAGTGCATTTCAGGCCCAAAGCAGCATCTCCACATCCTGGAGAAGTGCACCTTTGCCATATTTCCCCAAGGACTTCATCAGAGGAAGGTGCAGAGGTGCCAGGGTTACCGTTCTCAAAAGGTAAGGTCTTCCAGCAAGTGAGAAACTTAACTATATGCCACATCACAGTCCTTTTTTTATCTGGAGCTTAAATCATTATGCATGAAGAACTTACACAAATAACCTATGCCTCTAATGTTTTCTTTTAAGTGATTATTTACAGATATTGAGACTCTCCTGATTGCTGAGCCAAACTTAGCACCAATAAAACTATATCCTCATCAGGGAGCAAAGGCAGATTTGGCATTCAAGCATTTGTGATAGTCTCTCTGTCTCTGGTTATCAGGCATCCTAGAGAGTTCATTCCCCACATAAGTCTCTCAGATTTACAGAGGGCATGAAACTAGGAAAGATTTTTGAAGTTCTAGTGACAAAATAAGAATTTTAAAAGATACAGAAAAGTTCAAAGTGTGAGCTAAATTTCATAGTAACTAACCAGATAAATACGAAATCCTACCCTTAGCTCCAAAATAGGCATTTAAATAGAAAATAGAGAAGATTTGACTTATATCGAAGCACAAATGATTTTTCAAACCAGTTTTTTAATTAACTTCAAACTTAATAAAAGCTGGCATAATGAGCCATTTTTTGAAAAAAGATCACATTAGTTAAGAGTCCTTATCAAAGTTAGTAATAATTGCTTTCTGTATATTCTGTACAAGTAAAGCAATAGTTATATGGATTAATTTTGGACACCTAATTTTAAAGAAACATTAGCCAGTTATAGAACAGGGTGACTAGAAAGTTTAAGGGTCTCAAACCATGCTTGATAATAATGAAAATAATAATAGCACCTTCCATGAATTGAAGCCCTACTGGGTGCCAGACAGATAAACACTATACCTGAAATGGCTGTGGAGTTGAACATCTGTTATCCTAAGAAAGTCGAGGAGAAGCTACCTCCCCAGTTAAATTTTAAAGTCCATGATAACTGGGACATTTGTACATAATTTTCAGATGGTAATGAAGATGCTGATAAGGATAATGTAGATGTTTTGCAATATTTGAGAAATGAATTCTCAAGTGGCAGGGAGAAAAGAGTATGTGACTCCAGGGGAAACTAGATCAAATAGGTTGAAGTTACAGGGAGGCAAACAAAAGCTCAAATATAAAAAAGAAATTTCCATCACATATTATTGCTCAGAAATGGCACACGAAGCCCTTAAGATGGCCTATTTACTGCTAAATGGTCATTATGTTCCCAATGCAGAAGTCAAGACTTTACATCTATCTATTACCAGCCAGTAAAGTTAATATTGTTATCTCATTTTATCCATGTGGAAATTGAGATGCCAAGGAAAAACTTGGTGAAACTCACACAACTGGGAAGTGACAGAATTGAAGTTTACTAACTTTAAAGTTCATTTATTTTCACAAGTAATAGTCTTTTCTATCACTGCAAATAATCCTACATGACCATTGGCTAAACGTTCATCTCTTGAGAACATTTCTAAGGGAATTCCTGCATTGGGTAAGAGTAGCTCCCCATCTCTTTGATCCTTCAAGTGCTCAGTGTCAATAAGCCTGTTTGTTAAATAATAAGCTTTATTAAGAGTGACCATTTGATGATTTGATTTATAAAACCACAAAGTCATAGGACTATAGGCAACACTTTAAATAAATCTGAAGATATCAATTTGAGTTGAGGAAATGCTAAATGCCCTAGTGAGGGATACTTGCTAATTCATCCTGAGTTTCACCGAGAAACATTTAATTGGCCTTCTAATATAATTGCTTCCAGGATAATTCATTTACTTGTTATTCTGTTTTGCTTTAAAGGATTCACATAGCACATTTTATTAGTGTATGACTGGTAAAGATAAAAATTTAATACATGACTTTATATCTGTTATAAACCATAAACATGGGCTTTAAAAAGCCAAATATGTGGAAGTGGAGATAAGCAGACATTTATTGAAAGTCTAATGTGTTCTATTCACAGTCTAGAGATTAACTCATTCAAAGAAAGGTGGGAGGACTACTAGGAGCTCAGGTGTTGAAGTAACAAGCAGCTCATCTGTAGGGTATTGAGACGAGACTTATCCGAGCCTAGGCGAGATTCTGTGGTAGAAAGTAGTGAACAATGTCATTAAGTAGGTAAGGTGGAAAGAACCAGAAGATGAGCTTGGATTCTGAGTGGAGCTTTTAGACCTGGTGTTCTGGGCATCAGGAGCCATGCTAGACTCCTAAGTGGAAGAGTGGAATAAGGAAAGTAGTTTAAGAATATAGGGAACGTGTTCCCTCTAAGTTAGGAAGGAACTGGAAGGCACAATAAAAAAGGGTAGAGGTTGTTTTAGAAAGGCATCTCTTCCTCTGATATTGACAGGAAGGATCACAAAAAAGTTATTAGTATTAAAAATGAATACTTAGGCAGCACTTACTATGTGCCAGACAGTGTTTAAGTGCCTTAGATGTATTCACTCATTTATCCTTACAACAGTACTGTGAAATAAGCACTATTATTATCATCATCCCCATCCCCCAAGTGAGAAAAAACTGCCCTAAAAGCAGTTGGCCTAAAGTCATACAGAGAAGATGCGCAACAGTCAGTACATGGTCACCTAACAGCCAAGTTCCCATGACCAATAGCAGTGCACTTTAAAGGATTATCTGATGATAGTATCTCTATCATCTAGCTGTTTTACTGTAGGTCACAGCTTGAGCAGATTGTTCTCAGAAGTGATGGGCACAACAGGGATGACATTGTGTTTCTTAATCCATGAATATGGTTGACAACCTGATCTCCAGTGTTGATTACATGTACTCTTTTTCCCTGGAAACTGAGGAACCTGTCCTTGAATAGGACAGACCTGTTCAAGTCTTAAACTTATATTTGTATTCTAATAAAAATAACATTAGGTGTAAGGATTATATCTGCAGTTGTTTTATTCATAAACATTGTTATTCCTTTCTGCACACATAGCATACCATATGTGTCCTTTTTCCCCTGCACTAGGGGCTCAAGATCTGGATCGCATCCGACTCTCCACCTACAGAACAGCATGCAAGCTTAGGTTTGTTCAGAAGAAATGCAATTGTAAGTATGCCAATTGCTTGGACTAATTACCATCATGAATCCTATCGTTTACATTTGGTACTAAGTTTATTAAACTAGATTCTCTTACAAATATTAATAAGAATGTGTATACAACAATAAAAGGGGTATTATGATGCACACATGGTAGAGATGGCTCCTAAGTAATCTGTCTTGAAATCTGAATTATGCATAAATACTACAGCATATGAACTCTTCAGTTCATACTAAAAGGATGAACCTCTGGATACATATACAATATAATCCTTACCTTGAAATGGTTTAAATCTGGATGGATATTTTTCTTCTTTTCTCCAACTTTGGTTTCGTAAATGCAGTACTATCAGAATGGTTTCTAAGAAGTTTATAAATATCAGACATTAAATCTCCCTTATATTTGTATTTTCTTTTACAAGGACAGGAAAATATTTAAAAGCTTTTGGAAAACATTTAAGTTTTTTTCTGAAATAACAAAATTAGCCCTTTGTGTCAGAGTTTTAACTACCTTTGTGTACATCAGACAAAAATAAGAAAAGAAACAATACCTAAAGAAACAAAAGAACTTGCTTCAGTTTCTCTCCAAATTTAAAAATGTAAGCAATAAGCTAGATCACTAGTCACAATTAGCAGGTTTATTCTCTGCTGCGTCAACACTTCCATTGTATTACCACATCCATTTTCTCTTGGGAAAAAAAAATATCAATTCATAGTTCATGCATAAGAACTTATTACTTTCTTTTTTTAAAAAATGAGTGCTATAAAATTAATAGTGTCTCATTTTAAAATTAATATTAGGTGAAGTTTTCTAAATGAAAACTGTAATGTTCTCCTGATACATACACATAGTGCTACAATAACTGGCATGGTCATTAGACTCATGGTAAAGGTAGAAACCAGGCATCTCCACATGTCTACCCTCTCAGAGTCTCTAGTAGATGTTTCCCAGGGCCCTGGACAGGTCACCTCAGCCCCAAGCTTCTAGGCTTACAGCTAATCACGACTGTGAGGATGCAAAGTATGCATCTATTCCCCAAGCTTTTCATCTACACCTTATTCTCCAGTCCCAATGGCTAAAAATGGGGCTAAAGTTTGGGGAAGGAAGGGATGGAAGAAGAACATAGTTTGGTTGTCTTATTTTCATTTTCTGTTGCTTATAACAGAATACTTGAAACTTTTGCAATTTATAAAGAAAATGAATTTATTTCTTCTTACGATTATGGTGGCTCAGAAGTTCAAGGTCAAGGGCTGCCTCTGGTGAGAATCTTCTTACTAGTGGGGCTCTCTGCAGTCTCAAGATGTGCAGGGCACACATAGCGAGGGGGCTGAGCATGCTAACTCAGGTCTCTCTTCCCCTTCTTATAAGGCCACCAGCCTCACTCCTGGGATTATCTATTAATAAATGAGTAGATTAATCCATTCATGAAGACAGAGCCCTCATGACCCAATCACCTCTTAAGAGTCCTACCTCTCAACACTGCCTCAGTGGGGATTAAGTTTCAACATGAGTTTCAAAAGGGACAAATATTCAAACTATAGCATTGGTCACACATCACATAGATGTTTTGACTCCTCACAGGAAACTAAACAAATCTAAAATGAGTAGTGAGAAAAGTATTACAGATGTTGAAACAATTTGTCACTGTATTTATAGTCCTAATGAGTCAATAAAAGCAACTTCCAGTCCTGGCATTAGGGACCAAGGAAAATGTTTCCACAGAAGTTTCCTCTTCCCCCTCAAACCCATCACCCATATTAAAAACAAAAAGAAGAATCTCAGTGTTTTCAGCAATTAAAAGGGATTCAATTGTCCCACTGTCTTATCGCGTGTTACCACTGCAATGGTCTCAAAATTGGAGGGGAAGGCAGAAGACAGGGGTAGGAGCTCTGTCCTCCTTAAACCTTTGCCAACAAGAGTCTTTCTTAGGCTCCTCTCAGGAAAGCTAGGGCTTTCCAATAAAAGAGTACAAAATGGTAAGAAGGAACACAGAAAAAAAGGAAAAAAGGAAAAGAAGGGAAGGGAAGGACTCAGGGACTCAGGGACTTGGCAACCCTGCACTCAACATTAAGGTGCTCACACTGTGTTGTCCCCAGTTGTGGTCCACAGGCTTTATCCCATGCCTCCTCCTCTCTGAGAAAGTCCCTTTCTCATTCCTAGGCATTTCCTTTCCTCTTTCTGTTCCTTTCTGGTCCACATCCTTATCCTGCATCCAGAATTGTCTTGGAATTTCTTGAAAAACAGTAGGGAAGAAATGACAGTGCTAATCTATCCTTGGGTGAAAATAGAAGCTTATACCCATCCAGTAGCCCTTCAGTGTGACCATTCATTGACCTCTTAATATTAAGTGTATAATGAGCTCCTGCTATACGTTTGACCTCATGCTAGGTACAAAGGATAGTGGGATGATGAATGACATGCAATCCCTGCCTTCAAGTTGCTCAAAATCTAATTGAGCAGGTGGGCTTTTAAGCAGATTTATAACACCGTGTAGAAAGATAATGATAGAAATATGTACATGATATGTGAGAGCTTCAGGAAATATGCGCCCTGACTTGTTGCGGGTGAGGATCACTGATTGGACTTTCCTAGAGAAGAAGATACCAGGAAAGTCTTATTTACTTTACAGTCTGTCTACCTTATAAAATTCATTCAGCATTTTCATAATGAGAAGAGATACTACATTCTACAAAAGTTAGACAAGGTTAAGGCTCAAGAAAGAACAACAAGTATATTTTGAATGCTCTGCTAAATTAAGCTGCTCTTAAAAATTGTTTCTATTCCGATCAGAAGGATTAAATGCAAGTACTATATATCTTTGTGGAGTTTTCCTTTCTAAAAATAAATACAGCAGTCGTGATGTTCAGAGGTATTTGTAAAATGCTTACATAATTGATCTTGGCTTACCTTAATCAAAGTTGTAACCTTCCTTCTAGAAAGTTAACCAGCCAGAAGCAGCAATGTTTACATGACATAACATTAGTCAACATTGAATGTATTTCCTGATTAGAGGAAAGTAATTTTAGCCTGCAATAAACCTAACCCACAATAAATTATGATACCTTATAATGGAGTTTTACTTTACAATGAAAGAAATAAGAAACAAAATATAGGTAGCATATTTGTAAGTGCATTGCTTTATTGGAAAGTGTCTTACATTTGGGCTGCTCTAACAAAAATACCATAAATTGAGTGGCTTATAAACAACATTTATTTATCTTAGTTCTGGAGGCTAGAAAATTCAAAATCAAGGCACTGACAGATTTTCTATCTAGCAGCCTTCTAGTTCCCAGGTGGCCCCTTCTCATTGTGTCGTCCCATAGTGGAAGAAGCAAAGCACAGTAGCCCTCTGAAGCTTTTTTCCTTTTCTTTTTTTGGGGGGAGGGGGGTGGGGGACTGGGTTTTGCTATTGTTGCCCAGGCTGGGTGCAGTGGTGCAATCTCAGCTCACCTTAACCTCCACCTCCTGGATTCAAGCGATTCTCCTGCTTTAACCACACCACCACCACCGCCCCCCATAGCTGGGATTACAGGCATGCACCACCACACCCAGCTAATTCTGTATTTTTAGTAGAGATGGGGTTTCACTCTGTTGGCTGGTCTCCAACTCCTGACCTCAGGTGATCTGCCTGCCTCAGCCTCCCAAAGTGCTGAGATTACAGGTGTGAGCCACTGCACCTGGCCTGGGGCCTCTTTTATAAGGGCACTAATCCACATCATGAAAGCTCTGCCCTCAAGTCCTCATCAAGTAAGGCTAAAAGGCCCCACCTCATAATACCATCATATTAAGGGATTAAGTTTCAACATAAGACACAAATACAAACATTTCAACCGTAACAGAAACTCATTATAGTATTTACTTCATAGATATCAATTGAATCTTAACTGAAAATAGATTGCTTACTTTTAGGTCCATACCTCATTTAAAATTTATTGTGTATACTAACAAAACTAAGTTTTAAAACTACATAAAGGAGGAAAAAAAACAAAAACTGGTTCTTATAAAGATATCACCCACAAAAAAATGAATATTGTCTGGATATAGCACAGACTATATAGGTTTTTAGGTGATTTCTTTTGTATCTATTATCTAAATTCAGATTTCATATTTGTTGGTTAAATCTCCATAGTTCATTCCCCACAGCCCTTGCGTATTCTGTTTATGATTTTCCATATGGAGCACTTGTTCCTATCACTGATGTCATGTTTATTTTCTTCTGTTCAATTCCTAATGTATGCTGAGAATAATCAGTTCCCGGGGTTCTCAAAGGACTCTGAACAAGAGGCCACTGTGACCCATGAACTAAATGAGGTCCAGAACCTACCTTTTTATAGAGCATGAACTAATAGTTTTTACAGATGAATATTTGTAATCGATTTGATAACAGGGGACACTGACTTATAACCCCAGTTTTTAAAAATGCATGCCCCCAGGAAGAATTACATTCTTCACATTGATAGGCCAGTATTGTCTTAATGTACTCAATTATTGGATATTTAACTTCATCAGTAAAAATGTTGTGGAAATTCTTTTTCTCTCTTCTTATGTATGTACTGATACAATATCTCTGATTTTGTCTCTTGGTCCACAAAAGGAATGTTGACCAATCCCTGCTATAAAAGACACTTGTAAAAACCCATCTCTTTTTTTTAAGCCAAAGGATTCTCCTTTGCAAATCGCTTCTTCCCCTTACCATTCATCTTTGTACCCTGCCATACCTTCTCCATCATAACTAGCACATTCTCTAACAAAATAAAAGAATGAATGTTTCTAAAAAATTAGGGGACACCACATTGGCTATTTTATATTCTAGAAGGAATGGAGCACAACAAAAAATGCAAATAATATTTTAAATGATCCTTTCTAATCAATAGCCTTCTCTTTAGCTTCCAGGTTTTTGTTAACTTTCCCCAAAAATTAATACCCATAAACTCTTATACATATGTGTAAAATGGCATCATCTCAGCCTTTATTTTAGACAAATAGCTGTTTCTGCTAGAACACTATT